TGGGGCCCGGCTGGCATCGGGACGTGCAGGCCTCGGAGCAGCACGCCTGCGGGACCCGCTCCTTTAATGAAAACGAGCGTGGTGCCTTCTGTTGGAGTCGGGTTGTGGCGTTTAATACAGCCCGGTGTCAGATTAGACACTTGCATCTGTATTATCATTGGGGAAAAAAAGTATTTCTTTCGTAAAGGCAGCCGTTTTGGTTATTATTCTAGTCTGCAATATCCATCTCTCTTCATCTTCTTGCAGGCATGTAAGAACTAGTATGACTGTAGGTATAGCGGCTGAAGTAAGCTTACGTGTAATGGAGAAATTGCATTAAATATTTAAACAAAACAGTATGAAGCTAACCATTAGTTTGTGAACTATAAAATGTGTCATTTGTTTGAAAGCTCAAATATCTAATTTCTTTTTAGTTTTAGAATGGGGAATAGTCTGCCTACTTCTGTAGGATTGTCTAATGATGCTGCTGTGAATCAAATACAGGTAACATTATTTATGCAATTCTTATTTTCAACATTTCTAAAATCCATAATTACTTAAAAGCTCTTCTGATTTACACAAAGAAATTCTGTAAATAGTTCTGCATGTTGAACCTGATTCCTATGTTTAGTAAGTAATACTGGCAGCATTGTTTACCCACAGCCCTGGAAACTGATCTTCCTAGGCTGCGTCCATTTTACATTTTTTCAGACCTTTACTCAAATTCAGTACTATCATTTCTGGGGATTAAACTTTGTAAAACGACTGATATCAAGTAAAGTAAATATTTAAAGAGTAAGTTGGTTTTTAAAGTAAGTTTACTGATACCAAGTGACAGCCTGAAATCACCTTGAATTTACAGTAAAGTAATAGGGGTATTTCTTTCTCCCACTCGGAACTGTTTTTGTCACTCTGCTTGCCACCGGCACATCCTGTTTGCCTTACAAGCAGGGAAAGCTGTACTAAATAATTCAAGGAGAGGCAGCTTATTTGGCAGACTGGAGGAGGTCTGTGACTGCAGAGCAAAAGAGGGTTCAGGGTTGGCACCATTGCATGGCAGTCACACCACATGCTCCATAATCATTCTGCTCAGTTTTGGAGTCAAGTGCAGGTCATACACAGCTTCATAGGTGCTAGCTGTGCTTCTGGTAGAGATCGTTAATGCCAACTCTCTTCTATTTCTCTGCTCCCACAAGAAGATCATAGCGTTCCTGAAAGTTAGATACCGCTAAGTTTTAACTGATTCCAGGCATTCTACTCAAAGAATAGAGCATACCTTTTACTGAAAAGCTTAAGTGGAGCAGGAGAAGTCACTTTATCTCCCATGTAGTTCTGCAAACTGCTGAAGTTGCGCCTCACTGCCTACTGCACTTGTGCACAGATGTTCTTTGGGATCTGGCCAAGTGCAACTGCACTTTTTCAGGTCGAGAGTCTGACTTTCTTGGAAGTCAGGTAGGAAGCAATTTTTTTTCTGATGTGAAAGTATGGGTTGTATCCCTAAAGGAGGTGCTAGGCCAACACAGAGGTCTTCAAAACAAATGTAGGGTGGATATGTTTTGCACCCACCATACAGGTGATACCTTCTTGACAGATGCCTTGATAGAAGTCACTGTTCTGCTCCTTGTTTTTAAAAAAAAGTAGTTCATTCTTCGCCTTAAGATTCTTCTGCCTCTAGACTAGAAGTAGGGAAGATTTAGAAGCTAAACTAGCTTTTCACTTTACCTTAAACAACTGAAAATAAACTACAGTGTTTTTGGAAGATTCTTCAGAATTAGCCAGCCATCGCTGTAGCATGGCTGGGAACTCCTCAGTTGTCCCTGTTAAAAATACCTCAGAAAGCCTTTACAGAGAGTAATTTTACTGTATTTGTTACCATAATAGCAGATTTTTAACTTCTGTATTTGTTTTCATGACTGTTCGATACTGTTAAAATACACTGACTTAAAAACAAAGCACGCTGACTTGAACATTCTTTTGAACATATAGGAGATTATTTCAGGCAACTGTGTGGTGATTTTCTCTAAAACAACATGCTTCTACTGCAAAATGGCAAAAAAACTTTTTGAGGGTATGAATGTAAATTATACAGCTGTAGAACTGGACGTGAATACAAATGGAAGTCGGTTCCAAGACATTCTTGAACAGATGACTGGTGGCAGAACAGTAAGTATATTTTCTTACATGTAACAAGTAAAGTAAGAACATAGACTACACACGTTCCTCATGGGTTATGACCATACCAAATTCTTCTTTTTTTTTGAGATAAATAAACTTGGGATACAAGCTCCTAAATTATAAGACAAAGTACTGCAGAAGGGTTCTGTACTGTCTTTTCCTCTTGAGACCCTCTGGCTATCCCTCTGAGGTGATCTCTTCCATACTGCCACTAAGATAACTGAAGTATCAAAGTCAGTTTTCATCTGTGTAGGTATATTTAATCCATTGTGTTTAACACTTATCTTGTAATTTCTTAATTTTATATAGTCTCACTTGACTCAATTATTTTAATTTATTACAACCTCCCATACAGTGACTTTATCCCACTTTTGAGGGGCACATGAACAGCTTCCCATTTCTGTAAATATTATGGAAACATATGAACCGTACAGCAATATTGTACATGCATAAGTGAGAACATAACTATTGTGTGTATACTACAGTCCACGTGGGCTTGCTTAGTTTTTTATCTTTTTTCCAAGAAGTAACTAACGCAATTTTCATTTTCTTGATAGGTCCCAAGAGTGTTTGTCAATGGGACTTTCCTTGGAGGTGCGACAGATACTCAAAGGCTTCATGAGGAAGGCAAACTGCTTCCATTAGTTCATCAATGTCAGCTGAAAAGAAAATCCTGAACAGCCATCTAGCTTAGTTTAGTCTTCCTTTGTATAAACACAGTTTCAGACAAGTTAGAAGATCGCAAAGATACACTGCATCAGCTGGACTCAACAACTTCAAGCCATGGATTTCTGAATTGTAGATCATTCTCTGACATGGAGTTTATGGACTTGGCAAATTACTTGGTGACCTTGCCTCAGCTCTACCACAACCAAAACGGTGATTAAAAACATTATGTAACTCTTGGGGCTCTAAGTGTGAGATAGTGATGTCATTTTATTGCTATTACATTCTGATACTATGCTTTGGAGAAGTATAGACTGTACAAGAAGAATCCTGTGGGGTTTTTTTCTGCAAAGCTTGCTAGCTTTGTTCCGACAGTTACAATAAATGGTCAGTTTAATTTAATGGTTCCTTTAAATTTAATTCTTCTCTGAATGTCAAGCTGTAATCATGAAGAAAGTATGAAGCAAAACAAGTTTGTAGTGATATTGCTGTATGCATGTCTGCCTCTCTTACATGTCAGTGTCTGATCACCTAGCTACCAAATTGTATGGGAATAAAGATTCTTGCAGCTTTAGAGGGTAGGTAATTGCTTTCATCTTTACTCTACACTATGAAGTATCAGTCTATACAGTGTCACATTCAGGAATATCCTTCTAGGGGAGCCAGACAGCTCCCTGTCACTAAACTGTGCAGCTACAAACTACATTATGATCAATCCAACACTATTATGAAACTTAAGACCAAGTAAAATGGGTCTAATATGCATAGAGTTTATTTAGTACTTAAATTCTACAGTCAGAATGCAGTTTACTAGCAATTTTAACTTGCAGTTAAATGTCTAAAAGAAATGTCTAAAATTCAATAGTTTCAGTACAATGTACATCCAAAGCCAGACCAGGCAATGCCAAGACTCTTGGTTATTTCAAGAAAGTTCATATGTAAGTAGAAAATTATATCCCATTCTTGAGTAAAAGGGACCATCACACTACTAAAGATGCACAGTTTAGAATAAAAACATTAGTCAATCAAGTTTTACTCACTTCTTGTGAATAAGACTCCTGTTATTTCCGTTGCTTTCAGCACTGCATGCACCTAAACTACTTTTTTCCCCTCAAGGGAAAAAAGTGTCACATTTATCTTCGACTCCATATAACTAGAACTGTAAGAGTATCATGTAAATTTGACAGCTTCATTTTAGTGATGCGGGTTTGAAATAAGTTTAAACTGCATCATTGTAGAAAGTCTTTAGTATACCGTTGCCTGCACTGTGCATCTTTAACATGTAATGAGCTATTTAAACACACTGACCTCGTTATATTTTTATCATTGCTGTTTACTGTATTTTGCTAGTTTCATCACTGCCTTATTAAAATTTTGTTTACAAGGACACACTCAAAGTAAACACACACAAATGTGCATCTCTCCCTAAATTTATACTTAATAAAGCAATTTATTTTGCACATACAGTGGTAACCAAGTATTTTTCTCTGTGTTGAATTCTTCGGCCAGTTGTGTTTTCTCAGAAGTTTAACAATAATTTTGCACCTGAAAGCTGGTAAATCCATCATGTAAAAATAATAGTATGCAAAGGATTTTTTCAAAGACCTTTTCATTTTGTTCCCTGTGGAAAAAAAAAAAAAGTCCCAAAACAGTAGTCTAAAATAACCCTTTGAGTTTTAAGTTTCAGAATGCCCAGGGCATTGTCACTTAAGGCAATATTCTATTCCAACTGAGAAAACATGCTGTATGCCTGCAGATCCAAGTGAGTGCCCATTTATTAAAGAAGATGTGTCTTAAGGCACTCAAAGGGTTAATTATGTTTCTTTTTACCCATATTAAGGCTCCCCATCCAAATAGTTTCTCATTAATTTTGTATCATTTCATAGAAAGTAGCAGCAAGACAGTGCCTTCATTACTGGATGGCACAAAGCCATGTTATGTTTAAGTTATTTAAACATGATATGGCAGTTAAAAGTGTGGTTCTACTCTAGAAAAAAAAGGGACTCAAAAATAGTCATTAAAAATGTCCATATTTTTTGCCTAGCATTGTCTCCGGACAAAGCTGTTTATCTTACAATAATGCTTGCCCTGGGATCTGAATGTTAAAAATTATCCACTGAAAGATTCTGTACTTACACTTAAGACATACCTGCTCATCCAGCTTAAATACCACGCTCCTAAGAAGCGTGAGAAGCTGGAAACAAACATCAAGTTACTTAACTAAGCAGACAGAGCTGTGAATGTGCCCATCTGTTGCTTCTTTATACAGAATTATTTTTAAAGAGTAGAACTGCACTTTTATAGGAGAATGGAATAGAAAAGACCTTTTATTTGTAACTAGTTGTGCTTAACTCTAAGAAGCTGGTAACATTGGGAAAACAGCTATTTATATTCATTATTTGTTAATGAAGCATTTGTAAAAGTTCTCAACATACCACATACATATATGCAAATATATATATATTTAAACTTAAATTCAGAATGCAGAAATACCTAAAGAAACCAAGCTTTACAGTATCAAAATTATAAATCCAAATGTAAGCACACATATTTAAAGACACCATACTTTCTGCTGAAATTAGCTGATCTTAAATCTTAGCTTTCAGAGCAGCACATACATAATACACTGTCCTAGTGTTTTACCTTTCCCCCCGTAACTCTTACTCAGCAATGTTGTACACTAGACTGTATCACAGTAAGAGGAAATCTCTACCATTCCAGCAATAAAGTCATTAAAACAGCTTGCTTACAGCATATTTGTCTGTGAACCACTGCAAATAGCAAAATAAACCTATAAACTGATGAAATGCTTAAAAAAAAAAAAGATTAAAAGCACACGCAAAACAAATGATTCTTTGCTTAGGTTTACTTCTACATCCTATTCTTTGAAGATTTTCTCTAATCAATACTGCAAAGAAGCTGCCCATTTATCCAGAATATTCATTTAAATGTTTCCCTAACTCTGCATATAACAGCAGCTTGGTAATATTTAACAGAATGGAAGGCTCCAACCTGCAGAACTAATTCTAGAAAAGCTTTAAATTTGAAAAGCCAATTTTAAGCGGTTACTTTATAAAAATAAAGCCATTCACAGGCAGATGTTGGATTTTTGTAAAGTATACTTTTGTCACTGATCTTTACACAAAGTTTTACCAAAAATCTGATAGATACAGCAAATTAAATGCTTTATAAGAGATTTATATAATCAAAGGAAGGAAAAAATTTATCCAGTTTTTTAAAATTAAGATAAATACTATGACATCAGTTCTGGTGTAAGTTATTTAGCTAAGCTAGCATGCTCAATGACAGCAAAAAGGCAGAAGAACAGGGGCAAAAAAAGGAATGGATGAGAGCTTCTATGGGAAAAGAGATTCAAGTATAGGCCTGAGGTGACAAGGAGATGGGAAAGGAGGAAAAAGCCAACATTAACACAGAGAAGGAAGGGCAAAGCAAAAAGGTAAGACAAGAAACAAAATAAATGGAGCCAATGGAACCAATACTAATGCTTCTGGTACGGTGGCTATGAGTTATGGCTGTGATTAAGCAGCACAGCATTTTGCAATGGAAAAAATACTTTCCTAGTGTTTTTACAGACAGAACCATTATTAAAATACATTTCCAAAACTGCTGGTGTATTTTTTATGCCAAGAATATCTACTTCGTTCAATAGCCTTTTAAAGCCATACCCATTTATAGGCCCCAATTAAACAACAATGAAAAAGAACAACACAACCTCCCTAATGACTCATGTTTAACAAACAGGTTTAACAGTAGTTTTAAGCAGCAAGATATTTTAGGGTCAGTTATTAGTGGCCCTCACATAGTGGGCACTTAGACTGGCCCTGCTGACTTCAGATCTATACCTGCTTTTAGATTTCTCTTTTTTAAACACATAGGATTGTAGGTAAAGACCCCGTATTTTGCCTGTAATCTAATTCTACAAGCATCCCAAACTCTCCTCCTCCTTGCTACAGGTCTAAAATTCCCGACATGAAATTCTATTTCTTGGCAAAATTAGTACCGTGTTTATTCAATTTATTACACAATGCTGATGTATGCATTGCATGATTTTTAAGAAATCGAGTGCCTTCTGCCCTCTCCACATTCTTGATTGTATCCCTTCCATGAAGAAACCTGACCTCTGATGTTCATTCGCTACAGCCCTTCATTACAGAAGAATGTTTTACCTCTGCTGTGCTCCCAACCATTACATCCTTTTCTTCTTTCTTAAAGCTAAAGTGCCTGAACGTTATAGTCTTAGACATAATAGTCTAATACTTAAGAATTGTTAAGGGGGTCACAGTGAAGTGGCAGTCAAACTGAAAGCCTATTAATTCTGTTAGATATTGGGAAACCTGCATTCACCCGGTCTACAGTTGCACTCTGCATTTAGACTTTTTTTTTTAATTAATGTTTTGAATAAAATTAACTATCTTTAAACTTGTCCCTGTTCAATTTTTACTGGTAAACTGCAGTGCACAATTACAGCCCCATTTTTGTTTTGTTAGTCAGTGTTCCTCCAATACAAACAACACTATTAACTTGAAAGAGTCAGTCTCCTCTTTGGTGAAAGGGTTTGGTGAAAGTTATTTATTGTATACTGAACTAATGCTTAATAACTTTGTCTTAGCTCGCTCATTTATTTTTTAAAAAACATTACAGTAATTATTGCCTCTTTACATGTCCAGATATCATTTTGGAAATTATCAGTTCAGTATCTAAAGACTAAAATCAGGACAAATTTATGTTATGGCAAATGAGTCATGCTGTCCCCTAAAACTCAGTATATGGGCAGATAAAAAAGATCCAGTCTACGGAAAAGGAATATGCAGCATCATTCTTCTATGCCTCTTACTGCAAGATAATAACAAAACCAGACCAAAAACGGTAGAAACAAAGGTCAACACACTATAAAGTTTCAGCTGTCAGCATTTACTTCAGTTTCCCCTCTCTGAAAATCTTAAAGGAGGAGCAGATGACAACATGATCTCATTGGTGCTAGTTTTACATCGGATAACCAAACCACTTAGAATATTCTAACAAGATTTTTTAGTACAGAGATATGGTAAATATTGGGAGCATATTACGTACTCCAGCAGGGATGACTATCTTTAACACAGTGCATAGCTATCCAGTGTCAATAGATACAGGGAGCTACATTTTCTCTAAGTTCTACTGAAAAGTTCATCTTCACTTACACTCTAATTCAAGGAATTGTATTTTAAACTGGACTGCTTTCAAAGATGCAACACTACTATAACCGTTCAATCTGTTAGTAACTAGTCTAATCTTTTACTTGCAGTAAATTTATGCAATTAACTGCACAAAGTTACTTGAAATACCTGTTTAAGTTTTCATTTTATATTTAGTCCAAAATATTGCCTATTACTTCACAAATACTACTCCAAATAAGAAAAAGTACTTGCAAAAGATACTTAGCTATCAGTTATTTTCAACATCTCTAGCTTAGAAGGAAACACCTAATCAGATGTTTGACTACTGTGTAATTTAAAACACATTACTACCAAAAACAACCCCAAAACATCAGTGCATTTACTTGAAATAATTATTAACATGTATTGAGCAAATGAGTTTACTCCCCATATTCATGGTGTTTATTTAGAAAGGAGACTAAAAGTGGTAAGAGATTTTTCATAAGAAATGGCTAATTTTCTTTTTCAAACTCAAAGTGCTATGTCTCAGCTTTTGTAGGAACACTTGTTTTTTCTAGATGTCACCTGACAAGCTGGTGGCAGTCCTGTATTCTTCAAGCATTCTATCAGAGCTGTATCGTAAGAGCAGTGATAATTCAGAAGTAACTACATTCATGTCCACTGAAAGGTAACATTCCTACCATCAGTTCTTTAAGCCATGGTTTTAATGTCAGAAAAGGCTATCCTCGCTGTTCTGATTTATTAAGGTAGAGTATAAGTATGTTAGCAGAATTCCTTCAGTAACATGTAACCTCACATTTTAGCACCAAAAGAGATATCCATCCTACAGAAAGCAAACTTTGAATTTATAATCAAGATGTACGAGGCATAATGAAAAGTGTTACAAGTATCAAAAGTATAATATGAACTTGAATTTTACGTTTAAAAGCTTGGGGTTTAGGCAGAAAAATATGGTCTTACATGTCATTTACCACAACTGGGTTGTTTTTATAAATCATAATTATTTTCAAATTAACATCAAATTCACTGTTTAAAACAGCCAGAATTAGCATAAAAGAGGTTGACATACAAATGTCTTAGGGGAAGTTGTAAAAGCATCACTAAAAAACCTTTCTCATCTTCTAAGATTGTGGAAATCTTTTAACTTCCCCCCTATACACACATACATAAAAACAACCACACAGAATTAAATACATATACACATGAATTGCTATCAATTCCTGTTCCAAAGTGATGAAATTCACTAGCTTTCTCCTTATTTACTCACACTCTTACAATCAGACAAAAAAAAAAAAAAAGAAATCCAGTTTCTATCACTTCCTAAACAAGATTTTGAGAACATGAAGGAGGCAACTGTACAGTTCATAAATTTTTTTAAGAATTGGTCACTATAAACTGGAGGTAGTTTTGAAAAATGTTAGCTTGAATTAATTTACGAAATCAGAAGTAACGTTAATCTACAAAAAGATTTTTAAAAGATGAAATGCTCTCCTGTTAGGAAGATTGTTTCTGTATCATTGAATACATTCTTTTGAAGAAAATGTAGCTTTTTGTTTCTGGTTGTTAGCACTCAGCTTTCAAAAGCAGGCCAAGACACATGCACTTGTTGATCTTCCTCATTGAAAGTGTGCTGATGCTTCCTGAAGTTGTAACATGGACTGAATGTGGCTTCCCAGCCATTTCCAAGGTCTTTTTCTACTAGAAACAGTTTTTAGAACCTCCTGTAAAGCGTATTAATTCTAAAATAGTGCTTCTGAAACTGCATTGTACAGAAACTGCCCCTCAATTTATCTAAAGAGAATTACACTTTACTCCTGAAAACCCAAATGATAATCTAGGTAGAAAAAAGATTAGCGTGAGCTCTTCCACTTTCAGTTTTATCAGTATAAAATTTCACTGGGTAGCTTTTATACTGCATCACAGTCACATGGTCTCATACGTGCCAGAAAATACTTCTTTTGTAGATTTGAAGCGTAACAATGGAAACTGCTGAACCTTAGTAATTTGTTTAAAATAGAAAGATTAAAAAAAAGCCCAAAGAAAAATCCCTCTCAAAAAAGTTGCTGTTAAACTGACATTATTAAAAATACCAACCCCACTTTTCTTCCTGCCCCATCCTAAGAGTAATTCATCAATTTATTCTTGCAAACAAGCATTCCACAGCAACGGGGGAGGGGGGGAAATTAAAAATCTCTCAGTATTTATAATCTATTATAAATGAAATTAAATTATTTATTGTGTAACCCTGTAGCTACTTTTAGCAAACTTCCCACTGTTATTTCAAATTGTGTGCAACAGGAAAAAAGAGAAAAGAGATTTCTCATCTGCTTTTCTTGTTTTCCCTTCACAAAAAGGTAACATTCTGATATGTATATAATGTGCCATATTCTAATAAAGTATATTTGGCTGGGAGTTCCCAGGGTGAAGTCTGTTGCCAGCAATGGACCCACTGGGAAGAGCAGATGCCTAGAAAATTAAATCAAATCCAAAGTGAAGTTTCGAATAACATCCAAAGCTCCTGTATCAAAGCCACATATATCCAACATGCCTCTGTCGTCTGGATCTGCGATTGTAAAACCATTTGAGGTCATTCCACAAACAATCAATTTAGCAGGAATACCCATTTTCTAGAGGAAGGACAAAAAAAAAAATCAGAACACGCATATACAGTAACTTAAACATGGCAGAGGGCCAAATCTTGCTATGTTGCTTGCATAAACCACTGTCTGAACAGGCATACTGATAGAAACTAGATATGCCATAACCAGAATTGCAGACTGCCTGTTAACATTGTACTTAACCTGCAGTAGATATATTTAAATAAATGGAAATAATTACAATGAGGTACATTAGCACAACTTTCCTGCAATACTAAGATTTATGGATTATTTCAAATGCAAACATTGCATTTGCTATTCTGCAGTTCATTCTGAGAGAAAACTTTCAATAATAATTACCAAATCATCTAATAGGAGTCAAAGAGTGTGGTTTTGTCTAAGGCAAGGATTTCCAATGTTGGCTGAACAAATACAACAACTGTGGCCTGGACAATTCTGCTAAATTAGCTGAATTTGCAGGTTAGTAACCTGTAAGGTAAAGCAAAGCAAGTGGCATGAAGGCCAGAGTACAGGAACTCTTTGTTTAAGGAACAAATTTAGGAATGGGAGCTAATCTCAACTAAGAAAACTAAAACACAGTGGGCAAGTTAAAGATTTTTGGTATTAATTTCAACTGGGTGGACACGATATGAAGATTAACGTCCATACATACATGCTTGCCAAAGAGTATTTTTTGTAGTTTAAAAAATAGTTCCTTTAAAGCATAAAAGATTTCTTGCTGATTAAGTAAGAGTTTCTAATAGCAATGTGCTTGGAGAAGGTATTTTTCTTAGTTCTATTTTGAAATTATGAAGCTGCACAGCTTAGAGTAGCCCCTTTAAAATACAATGAGCTTTCTTCACGAGATACTATCACCTATTGACACCTTCCCTACAGGCTTATCTTCATTACTTCATTTAAACTTTGTGGTATCTAATGCAGACATCAAAGTTAAATTTAATTCTATGAGCCAAATTTCATTCTGTAAGAACTATAAAAAACTTAATAAATTATATATAGAATGCAGAAATGCACATATTCCCTGAATACCAAACAAATTTTCATTGATATTGCAGTACATGGAGCAGGGTAGGATAATTACAAATCCTTTTAGCAATTCAGTGGTTTTACATAGGCACAACTAGTGCAATATGTGCACTAATTCTGCCTAACTGCAGAATATATCAGTTTTTAACAATATATAATTATTTACTGGAAAAAGCCACAACTAGTTCAGTCTCTAAAACATTTTTAGAACTGGTATTTACTTTGTACTGTATTCATCAATTATAAACAGTCAGAGGCATATTTACCTCCCTGTACTCTCTAAGAGCTGTTGCAGGATGAGTATTTCCAGCAAAGGTCTCGTTATCGGTAAATACAATGAAGACATCAGCAGCTGTCTGAGTTTTTTGAGCCCATATCATTGGAAGGGAACAATCAGTGGTACCCATTGGAATCTTAAAAGGAAAAAAAAAAAACGTGGAACACATTAATACAGAAATTAGTAAAACACAGAAAAACTACTTCTTATGTAAGCTTCATGTTTTATCACACACAGAGGCTTCTTTGTTAATGTCCTGGTTTTGGCTGGGATAGAGTTAATTTTCTTCCTAGTAGCTGGTACAGTGCTGTGGTTTAGATTTAACATGAGAATAATGTGATAACACACTGATGTTTTAGTTGTTGCTAAGCAGTGTTTATACTAAGTCAAGGACTTTTCAGCTTCCCATACACTGCCAGAGAGGAGGGGCACAAGAAGCTGGGCGGGGGCACAGCCAGGACAGCTGACCCAAACTGGCCAAAGGGATATTCCATACCATGTGACATCATGCTCAGTATATAAGCTGGGGGAAGGCTGGCCGGGGTGGGGGGAGAGTGCTGCTCAGGGACTGGCTGGGCATCGGTCGGCAGGTGGTGAGCAGTTGCATCACCTCTTGTTGTTGGGGATTTTTTTGTTTGTTTTGCTTTGTTTTTTCCTTCCTTTGTTCCTCTCTCTCTCTCGTTGTTTTACTTTCCATTACAATTTATTATTGTTGTTGTTTATTATTATTGTTGCTCTATTATTATCAATTAATAAACTGTTCTTATCTCAACACATGAGTTTTCTTACTTTTGCTCTTCTGATTCTCTCCCCATCCCACCAGGGCAGGGGAGGGTGAGCGAGCGGCTGTGTGGTGCTCGGTTGCCGACTGGCGTTAAACCACGACAGTTAAACAACAGTTCACTTACTCATTTAATTTCAGTTTTGTCCAGGGTTTTTTAATTTGATTTTTTAAATATTGTTTTCAAACTAACTCATTGTGACCTAACACTGCCATTCTAAATTGCAATGTTTAATATCCACCAGTTGAAATAATGACATTTGCTGGACTTCAAATAAAAGGGAGAAAAAAAAATCCAGTGTTCTACTATACAGATACAGACTAAATACAGTCCTAGAATTGATTACAAAGAAAATACAATGTAACTGCTGAGACTTCTACACTCTGACATTAGCAACAGCTATTTCCTAATTTTGGGGGTTTTTTTTGGGTTTTGTTTGGTTTTTTGTTGGGTGGTTGGTTTTTTGTTTTTTTTTTTTTTTACATACTTCATACATTTTCACTAATACTTGAGGTAATGTCATATCAGCTGTCACTGGGCAAGGGACCATTTCATGTGAAAAGGCAACAATATGGGAATCCTTCTCAGTACGTGCTACAACCTGAGAAAAAGGAAGACAAAAAATAATTTGGTTATATTATACAGAATTTTTAATGTCTGAATCAAGGCATTTCCTACCAAACACACAACATGACATATCCTTCTGTATTTAAGTCACCATGACTCCCCATATGCACTAACACTTCACTCTACACTTTAAATATTCTGTAATATTACTGCAAATAATCATTGCAAAAATCAGAGCCAAAGAATTGCTCTAATTACTGTAACTAAAGATACTTCCATATTTCTTCTCTCCCCTAACTTATGTTAGTGACATAAAACACTAAACATTTTTAAACAACAACAAAAGTTTGACTCCTCCATAATATAAATAGACAAGAAGCTTCAGAATATCAAATTGAGGAAACTGATTGTAATACAAATGTACACAAGAATTATCCCAAAATTTCTTAATCCAGTCTGTATTATTCTACGAATACTTCTGAAAAAAACTAAAAATGTATTTTCAGCTAAGGTAAGTGAAAAAGCAGCCTTGACCACTTTGATTTATACTGGAAACCAACTTCTTCAAATTGACCTTTCTGAATTTGGTTGCCAGTAGCTTTAAGCATCTGGTCTACCACTGAAGCACAAAGTCACATCTTCTGTACCCAAAAAATACTGCAAGTACGTTTCTTTCCGATTTCTAACCAGCTTTAGAGCACCTTTGTATCAAAAGAGCAGCTCAAGCTGCAAATAGTTATAAAGAAAAGAAGTTTAATTGCTCACCATACACATTGCTGCTGCAACTGTGCTAGCATTGAGCACGCTGCCCAAAACTTTTTGTGTCATTGATGCACTGACATCAACTGCAAGTAAGAAGCGTTTTCCTGTTGGTTCAACTGTCTAAAAGGTAAAAAGAAAACAAAGAAAATAGGTACACATAATTAATATATTAATTTCTTCTTCCTTCTTCTGCTTTCAACCCTAGAAGTGGGGCTTTTTTTTATTCTTTCTGTTGAACAATAATGTTGCCAAAAGCTGAATATACGATGAAGTTTTGATTCTTTGTTTAATAAAATCCCAATTCCTAAGATTTTTGTTATAAAGTTTCAAAATTGTCATCCACCTAACAAACTTTTCTTCATCATTTTATAAGCTTTCAGGAAACAGAGAGTTCTTAAAAAGCTTAACAACTGAAGAACTATATTACCTTGAAAGTTTTGTAAAACGAGGCATCTAAAGCTTCTAAAATGTCTTCATCAGGACGCCACCAAAGCTTCCCTCTGCTTCCATGTCCAGCTTTATAGGTTTCTAATGCAACCAAAATGTGGAACGGATGTATTCTACCCTACAGGCAAAAGAAATCAACAGTAAGTTTTTGAAAATCTGAACTCCTTAAAAAAAAAAGTAACAAACTAAAACTAAGACTAAGATCCTACTACAAAAATCTCTGTTTTAGTATATTGTTACTTTAAATTTCTTAAAATTTGAAGAGTTCATGCAGTCTTTACATAGCTGTTGTATGAACTGATACTTGTCAGTTACTGGTAATGGATCTCACTCCCTTTCTAGAATCCTCCAGTGAATTCCAAATGTTGTCTTATGCCATCGCCAGAATTTTGGTGAAATTTCACAGCTCTATCTATGATTGTCTAGTGCTATTTTCTATCACAGGCTTACAGTAAGAGAAAGTCCCTGTCCTGCTGAGGGGAAACGAGTTGAGATAGGAAAGGAACATACTTAAAACTAGTTTTGTATCAGATACGGTAAAACTGGACAAAGAAACTATTTTCAGAATACAGCCTTCATTTTCCTCTTACTGTAAGAAGACAGTCCAAACATTTTCTTCTTTTTTTGCTTTCCCTACATAAACCAAATCAGTGGCTGCCGCATGCTAAGTATTCTAAACCATATCTTTGCTTTACTGATTTATCAATATCTTGTTATCTTTTTCCTCAAGGGGAGTTTCAGTCATTAATCACTACCAGCAGCAAACCTTAGCAAATCTGAATGCCTGTCCAGTGTCTTTCTTCCATCAAGGTTTTGTGCCACCATCTTTGCTCTCCCTTCTCCAGTGCCTCAGTAACTATGTATGATTAAAGAAGAAAACAGAAAGGGAAGAGCAGTGGGATGGGAAAAAAAAGACCTACTGTTGTTCTTCTCAATGCAGCTATGGTCTTGAAGAAGTTAGATGTCCTAATTATAATCTCCCCAACTCACAAAACTATTAGAAAAAGCCACTTGTCTTCTCTATCTCCCATTACATTCCTGAAAATTTTGTTCTTCCTTTGGGGAACCCTCTTTTCCCCCTCATTTTCTTACCTCTGATGGATAGTAAAGCAATCTGAAAGGAGAAAGTCTCCTTGTTCAGTCTTCTTTTTCCTCTCAGCTGCTATGCTAATTTCTTAATTCACTTCCTAGGATCCTACACAAGTGACTTCCACTCAATTTCTAAGCTTGTATTGCTGATTCTAAATTACAAGACTCAGAAGCAACGGATGAACCCAACAGGCAAAGCTTGCCACAGCCCTCATTTAAGAAAATATCCTAGCTGTCAGTATACTTAATTTGTTTAAAAATTTCAGAAATATAGCTGTCAGTATACTTAATTTGTAGAAAAATTTCAGAAATAGAGGGGGGGGGGAGGAACAAATGAGAAATTATAAATGCAAGTTTTAAAATAAAGGTGCAGGTATTCCACTGCAGCTTTTTTAAAAGAAAAAACTACACATTTCCTCCAAAGAACATTGCTTTTATTTTGTAAAGAGGTTGCCTGAAGAAATACAGTTTAGGAAGAGATTAAAAACCACAAAGGTGGCACTGATTATGAAAAAGTTCTTACCTTTTTTAGCAGTTTCTCATTTCTCAGTCTTTCACATACTATCGCCACTTCTGAACCTCGTGGTTCAAGCACCGAATTTGCTGTCAGTTTTCCTAAATTTCTCAACAATACAGAAATGGACATCTCCTTCAGCAATGCCTTCCAAACCTATGATCAAAGAAAGAGAAGGGAAAAAAAAGAAAAGATCCCCAAGCCACAAGAACTGACATCTGTACACTAAATAAGCGTATTTTAAAATAAACATACAAGTTATATGAAGATCTTCATTGTTCTAAATTAGCTACTTGGGTAAATAACTTGAAAAACAGCAGAAGGGCTATTTTTTATGGAAATCTAGACTTAAGACTCTGAAAAGTGTTACTCTAAAGAGAATACAAAGCTAATGAAGTTTACCTACCTCTTTAGATTTCAGATGGTTTGTCAGGAGATGCTCTCTAACTAGACCATATTCCTCTATTAAATGAGTAACTTCCAATTCATCTTTTGTGCGTTTTACTTTCTCCACAGCCTCCAGATACTTTAAGAGTTTTTCAGTCTCAGCAGAAATTGCTTTGTCTTTATAAGCCTCTTGGACATCTTTCCACCCTTTGGTAATATATTTAGTGACTACAGCAATTCCTATTGAAAAGAAAAGTATTTTCCAAGCAGGATTACCGTCTTTATACTGGCATTTATCATTCTAGCAAGCAAATGAGTTAGCAAGTTTCATTCTCAGACCTGCCAACCAGCTATAAAAAAGGTCAGCCACAGACAACTTAGAGCAGTAGTTTTAATTACTGTAGTATTCTCCTTAGAAGTAAGGAGCCTAACATATTTGAAACCAACAGATCTTCCCAAATAACGAAAAAGGTTTAATTCATCATTTGTAAGCAAATAGGATCAAATTGAGGGAATCGTATTATTTTGTCTTCTCCTGACATAAGGAAGAAAAAGAAGGAACAAACTCTGTTTACCTTGAAGATAAACAGGTCAACTTCTGATATGACCACTCACGTTTTTAAGGTGCAATTTACAGGATACCATCACTAAGAAATCAGTCTACAATGGTACTTGGGTTTCCAAAATAGTTCCACAGTAAATATAAAAGGTTTAAAACACAGTATGTTCAGGTAAATAAAAATTTATTACCTTCACTGGCAGGTTTTAGGTGGGACAACCTCAGAAGATCTTTATGAGACCAGCCACTTCTTTGTTTATATTTTGTAACTGCTAAAGCAACAGCCATGCCATTCTTTCCATTGTACCAATCTGCAACAGCTTTCCTCAGTGCACGGCCCCACATGCCACATTTCATACCCTCCTTCAGATCTTTTTTAAATTGGATGAAAGTAAAGAGATGTGTTGGTATGCAACACACCTCAGGAACAGCTTTGAACGCCGCTTGTTTCGTTTTTGCATCAGAACACTGTGAGCAAATTGCAAGAGCAAAAAGCAGGGGCTCCTGTTTTGCTGCTCTGCCTTCTTGACTAAATGTCTTTATTTCTTGAACAACTTCACAACCTCTACCCTCTTCAATCAGTCTTGTTAAAGCTTCTGCATTTTCAAAGCCCAGCTTCTGCTCCTTGATGTAATAAGTACCAGCTTCCGAACCAAAACACAAGAAACGTTGCAGTCGATTCATATCAGTGACATGCCACACATAACCACTTTCAGAGTTCGGCACCTGCTTTTCATTTAGGAGTTGCACTTGGTTTTCCTCGTCCTCCATCGTTTACACTTCCAAGAGGTCTGCTGTAACAATAACAAAGTTTATTAAGAACTATTGTGAAAACCTCATGACTCTACTCTTTTATCAATTCTTAGCAAAGTAAATGTATCATATCTACACACTTGTAATTTTTCCTTCATAAATTTAATAAGAGTATACTCTAGATGTGCAGTAATACATATCAGTTAGGGGAAAAGAAACAAAAAAATCCCTGAGTTAAAACGGTGACAAATTTATTACCTTAAAAGCAACTTAGAAACTACTTAACCCCGGTAATGGCACACAGAAAACACAGCTTGTATTATGCCCTTTTGCCACCAATATATTACACCACTTTCTTAGGTAGATTTTTGAATTGCATACTAAATTGCTCAAAACTCAGATCTTGCCCTACTCTATTTTGCTGAAGAATTGGTAATACTGACCAACTGAAGAAACATGATGCTAAAATAAAGAACTAAAATACTGAAAAACTGTTTAGTCAGAAGACTTTGGGAGAGTTTAAATATGGTGGGTTTCAGTGAGGCTTAGACAACAGCTTTTTAACAACTGACAGTAGCTCAAGAAAAATTATTATCTTTATTACAGGCTCAAATAGTCTGCTGTTTCAAATGAGATCCAAGAAAACACACAGACATAACAAATTCTGTACTGCTTTACATTTGAGCTTAAGAAGCAAAAAACAGCACAAAAATTCACAATCTTTCAGGTCTTTATACACTCTTGAGTTGCAAGAGAGTTCAGCTGTAATATTTGTAGGCAACAACACTGCTCCTACTTGGAGAACATCTAGCATGGTAAAATTCAAGCCATAACACTTGAAATGAAATAAATGCAGGGGAAATGAAATCAGCAGGGTAAGAGGAAGAAAATTTATCACCATCACTATCTCCAAAACATTAATATGACAACAATAAATTCAGTTTTCTCAGTTCTCACCAAACAATAAAAACACCAAATAACACCAAGAGGTCCTATTTAAAAAAAAAAAAAAGCACCAATAATCCACTCCATCAAACTGCATATGGATCTTAAAATACACACACACTGAAGTCTGAGCACACACAAATGACATTTCAAAGAAATCCACTTAACGATTTCTAAGTATTGCAGATATCTTCTTTTGACGTGCTTGTTTGGATACTGAAGATAAAAGCCATTTTGCTTCATTTACCAGGATAAGCTAGCACAAATAAATGTCACTAATGTAGACAAAAGATTTTTTTCCCTCAGTTTAGGCAAGTAACACACTGATTTACAAACAACTTCCCTACTTTCTCTTTGACGTGGAATCTTCCTTTCTCTGCAAGTGACTAGAAATGTTCCCTTCCTCCATTCTTGCCTATCTGCAGTGATGTGCTGTCTGCATCCAGAATTAAATAATAAATAATAATCAGCACTCCCATTATATTCTATATGCTGCTAAAATCATAAAAATAGAAGCCATATGCTGATACCTGGTTTAAAAATGCAGGTTTCAGTTAAAAACTAGCCAAGAAATATCTTTCATTGTACTATTCAGAGCACCAGTGCTCAGCCATTTTTCTTAGTGCTTAAATATTCTAACCATATTTCCTGCCAAACCAATTTAAATACACATCATGGTTGAGCCGACTTTTTCACTGACATCTGAAGCATGCAAATACACTGAAAATAACAAGCGTGATATTCACAATGCATGAATACTTTATCAGTACATTTTAATGCCTAAATACATTTTATTTCAATACATTTCAATTAGCTGGTTTCATTAAACAGTAGGTAATGTTTCGTAAGAAACATACAAAACTCAAACAAAAAATCCTGAAATCACAGTCAGCATCCATTAGTTTATTTATCAGAAAAAAATAGTACGTAGAAAGATACTGAAAAACACCATTATCTTGAAGCAAAAATAAGAATGGGAAGCATAAAGGATCATGCATGAGTAATGAGATCTCTGTATACATGAAACCTTGAGAATAATTTCTTGTTGCATCTTTCATACCCCTGCTATAATATCCCACATTAAAACGAGACTAATAGGAAAACTCTTTTCAGTCACCTATGGATTACCAAGACTTAAACTGAACTGGAAGGACCATGCCATTGGTTAAACAAAATATTTATGATCTCACTTTGCTGATTATATTAAGAAATACCAGCAGTACTTTGATTATTTTAAAGTTTTTTCCTACATTTTTCCATTTGCACAGGTTCCATCTGATATGTCCATTTTATTTTAATTCTCACTTGGAGAGTCCCACTTGTCCTCACACTCTTAGTTTTATAGTCACTAATACAAATTAGCTACCATTGTCATCACCACCCTGAGAACAGGAACAAAACCTAAATGAAATAATTATAACATTTCTAAAATTACAATAATATTTATCTAGTTTGAAATCTAGATTTATTTATAAAATACTGTAACACAAGATCAGTATTTCCATCAAAGGTACCATCCTGAAAGGCAAACAGTTCACTACTTCATTGTTACATGTGAATATGCAGTGTGATGTTAACCGTATTGTATTAAAGAAGTTTAGAGCCGACCATCAGAGAAAAAGAAAAAAATTCTCCTGCTGCACTTCTCTGTTACACCGTATAACAAACCTAACTTAGGCACGTTAAGAATGGATAATTTTTATGTTTACTTTTGTATGGACTAGGCTTTTGTATGGACTCACAGCACTGAAAAGAGGTATGTGCTAGCATTCGTAGGCTTCTGACACAAACATCCATATTTCAAAAGATAGTTGCAAATGTACATACACTTCTAGTTTTTCTGAAGCTACTTCTAGTTTTTCTGAAGCTTAGCTCTTTAATTTGCCTTCTTAGGAATATACTACGAGCTACAAAAACAGATGCTGTTACGATTTCCACCTTTTGTAAAGCTTCATTTTCACTCAGCCCTCAAAGTCGTCTTCTCAGATGGAAGATAGTATTTCACAACAGAATGAATTACCTGCAGTACTTATCCCATTAAAAATGCCTACAACAAGTCTTCTGAAACTGTTAAAGTTATTAATGCCTTCTGATAAGCAATCTAGGATACAAAACAGACTTATCTCAAATGGCTTATTGCTGCCTCAGGGATTTAAAAAGAGCCTCAAACCAACATAATCTTTTGGATCCTAATATGAATTGTAAATTCTTCAAAATAAATTTGTATTTTAAAAATTACCCTTGAAATCTGCAATAGCTGATGCAAACCAGTAATTTCACTACTGAACAGCCACACTCGAAGTATCAAATTTAGACTTCACCAGGATCTACTGGAGAAGCACTTACTCAGTGTTGAACTATTTAAATCATGTTTGCCATTTCTACTCCTGACTTGTATTTCAGCCTCACGAGTTCCCAACGCTATTTCCTCCCTCTAACCAGTCCCTCTCCTCTGCCCAGACCTCAAGCTTATTTTCTCCTTTAACACCTGTACAACAGACAACTTTCACCCTCGCAGATGGATAAATGCAAATATGTACTTAACGTATGCTCTACCATAACCCTACTCTTCATCTGCTCAGCTGCAGCAGTGAACTTGAATTTCAAACACTCATGGATGATTTATCAATGACATTCTGGCTCCATAAGCATTTCCAGTTTCTGAGCTACTTGAATGCAAACAGCAATGTGAAAAGCCTTAAAAGTCACAGACTAGATACTTTACAATGAAAATCGCTGAACTAAAATTCATGGTTGCTCACCATTATTAATGGAAGAGAAAAAACACTAAGGGAATTTTTTTTATATTCCAAACACCATGTAAATTAATCTATGAGTAAAATATGGCTTTGACTGGTCTGAACCAGCCTATACAGCACTTACAACTTGATTGGCAAGTCAGTATCTTTATGTTGCTGTACCATAACATGATTGAGTTTTGAAAGTTAACCTCTGTTATTTTCTATGACTTTTACAATTCACCCCTAGTTTTCCTAAGAAATAAAACGTCTTACAGGACAAGTTTCAGGTACATATGAAAAAAAAATACAAAAAGCACAAAGCTTTAATAGAACTACAGGTTCTAACTGAAGTTCTTAAATTTAACTGCTATGTTAACAATGATGAATCAAACTTTGTAGTGAAAACATATGGAATTAAACTTTGACCAAGTCAGATCTTTTACGAAAAAATTGCATTGACATTTTAAAGACAACACTTCAACTTGTCTTCAAAAACTTCAAAACCATATACACTCCATTCTGTAAGAAACTGCATTCTCCCACTCTGCTCTCAAAATGTTGCATAAGCATTAAACTGAAGATTATAAAGAATATCTTCTAGTTTATTGAGCAGAGAGACTATAACCATCACACTGAGCTACGGCTGTAACAAAATACACCAGCACTACAGCAGAGCTCTGACAACAACATAAGTCCTCATACTTCAGAAAATAAGCATCTCTACGTAAACAGCAATGCTAGGAGAACGTTTCCCAAATCACAAATGGCATGATCACCAGTATTATGACAGTACAGGAGATACCAGACTATATGAACCACATACTTGCTCAAAAAATTCTACTATTGAATTTGCTAAAAAGTCTATTTGCTTAAAAAAATGTGTTGACTAGAGGAAAAAGGTAGCTTAGCTGACATAGAACAAAATTACGAGGAAAAAGCATGTAAAGTCGATACCCGAAAACCTGTGCGTTTAGCTGTCAGCTTCTATAAAGACGATAAACACAAGTAACGGCGAAGCAGACGAGTAACTCCAAACGACACGCCCTTTAATCCCCTCACGGGGTTTCCAACGCCCAGGAGCCAAGCAGGAGGTGGCAATTGACAGAGATGGCCTCTCCGGACTCCTTCAACA